AAGTTAAAACCCCATACTCTAGCATCTTTATGGTGTTCCTGTGTGTGGTCCCAGTCCTCTGTCTCTGTAAAACGGGTTTTAGTGCGTCTTTGTTACTAGTTATCACACACAAGGACCTGCCTAATATGGGCCAACAGGCCTGCTGCAGTGTTCTTTCTCTCTGGTTAGTGCGTCTTAGTTACCAGTTATCACACACAAGGACCTGCCTAATATGGGCCAACATGGCCTGCTGCATGTGTTCTTTCTCTCTAGTTAGTGCGTCTTAGTTACCAGTTATCACACACAAGGACCTGCCTAATATGGGCCAACAGGCCTGCTGCAGTGTTCTTTCTCTCCTGGTTAGTGCGTCTTAGTTACTAGTTATCACACACAAGGACCTGCCTAATATGGGCCAACAGGCCTGCTGCAGTGTTCTTTCTCTCCTAGTTAGTGCGTCTTAGTTACCAGTTATCACACACAAGGACCTGCCTAATATGGGCCAACAGGGCTGCTGCAGTGTTCTTTCTCTCCTAGTTAGTGCGTCTTAGTTACCAGTTATCACACACAAGGACCTGCCTAATATGGGCCAACAGGCCTGCTGCAGTGTTCTTTCTCTCCTGGTTAGTGCGTCTTAGTTACCAGTTATCACACACAAGGACCTGCCTAATATGGGCCAACAGGGCTGCTGCAGTGTTCTTTCTCTCCTGGTTAGTGCGTCTTAGTTACTAGTTATCACACACAAGGACCTGCCTAATATGGGCCAACAGGCCTGCTGCAGTGTTCTTTCTCTCCTAGTTAGTGCGTCTTTAGTTACCAGTTATCCACACACAAGGACCTGCTAATATGGGCCAACAGGGCTGCTGCAGTGTTCTTTCTCTCCTGGTTAGTGCGTCTTAGTTACCAGTTATCACACACAAGGACCTGCCTAATATGGGCCAACAGGCCTGCTACAGTGTTCTTTCTCTTCTATGTTCTTACGTAATCTACACACATGCTGCTGTATGGTACTTCGTGTAACTGTATTTGTACCTGTACCTGAAGCTCAGCTTACTATTTTACTTGTTGATATGACTCACGAAATCGTAATGACACGATTGCAAACAAACCATACCACGGGTGGGGTTAGAACCCGCGGTCAGTTATAAAACTCCAGACCGTCGCGTCGGTCTAGAATTTTATGACTCTCTGATCGCGGGTTCAAACCCCACCCGTGGTATGGTTTATACTTGTTGATTTGTAGATGAATGGTTCAGAGAACCGACATGTTGATAAATTAGACACATGTGCAACTCTTGGGTATCTTTATTGAGGAACGTTTCGCCACACAGTGGCTTCATCAGTCCATACATAGGAGAAACTTGAAGAACAGGAGGAGAATGAGGTAATCAGTCCCTCAACCTTGAGTCGATGTGTTCAGTCCATCAAGCGACTGCTGCACCTCTCCTGCCTACGGTTTATAAGCTCCTTCTCCACGCTTATGCCGTATTCTATTCAAGATTGATGGACTGACCACATCGACTCAAGGTTGAGGGACTGATTACCTCATTCTCCTCCTGTTCTTCAAGTTTCTCCTTTGTATGGACTGATGAAGCCACTGTGTGGCGAAACGTTTCCTCAATGAAGATTCCCAAGAGTTGCATATATGTCTAATTCAACAAGTTTATTCAGGTATGATACACACAACTCCAATTATCATAGCGTAAATTACCCACCATAATCAAAAAAACGTCGAAGTGTCTTATTTCCATTAGGTTATGATAGGATGTTCAAAAGTTAGGTATATTTGTTCCGAAACGTTTCGCCTACACAGTAGGCTTCTTCAGTCGAGTACAGAAAAGTTGATAGAAGCAGAAGATACTTGAAGACGATGTAATCAGTCCATCACCCTTAAAGTCGTAGAATTTGAGGTTGTCAGTCCCTCAGTCTGGAGAAGTTCAGTTCCATAGTCCATAGTTCCATGGAACTGAACTTCTCCAGGCTGAGGGACTGACAACCTCAAATTCTACGACTTCAAGGGTGATGGACTGATTACATCGTCTTCACATCTCTACTGTTCCTGCCTACTTTCTGTATTCGACTGAAGAAGCCTACTGTGTAGGCGAAACGTTTCGGAATAAAGTTGCCTAACTGATGCATATGTGTCTTACCTAACAACTGTGTGGGTGTGGGTGTGTGGGTGTTGTGTATTGAAGATTACCCTGAGCCTTATCTTCACCAGGTATCAAGTGTTGGAGGAGAGTGGTGGAGATGTGGGCAATGCAGGCGGTGGAGGGTGTGGAGGAGATGTCTGGAGTGACAGTGAGAGCAGCCATGGAGGCCTCCAACACCCCTGGAGTAGAGACACTTCTCTTGTGTCTCTTGGGAACACCACACATCCACCACCTCAGAGCCAAGATTATGGTTAGTGTTACATGAGAGAGGAACCCTGAAGAATTACACACACGTGCAGTATCTGTGTATACCTTTACTGTAGACATTTCTCCAGCCAGTGGTTTCACTGAATTATATAAGGGGACCCGTGGCCTGGTGGCTATAGCTCTCGCTTCACACGGCAAGGATCTGCGTTTGATTCCCAGCGAGGGTAGAAACATTGGACGTGTTTCTTTACACCGGTTCTCTATGTTCGCCCATCAGTAAAATAGGTACCTGGGTGTTAGTGGACTAGTGTGGGTGGCATCCTGGGTGTTAGTGGACTGGTGTGGGTGGCATCCTGGGTGTTAGTGGACTGGTGTGGGTGGCATCCTGGGTGTTAGTGGACTGGTGTGGGTCACATCCTGGGTGTTAGTGGACTGGTGTGGGTCACATCCTGGGTGTTAGTGGACTGGTGTGGGTCACATCCTGGGTGTTAGTGGACTGGTGTGGGTCACATCCCGGGTGTTAGTGGACTGGTGGTGGGTCACATCCTGGGTGTTAGTGGACTGGTGTGGGTCACATCCTGGGTGTTAGTGGACTGGTGTGGGTCACATCCTGGGTGTTAGTGGACTGGTGTGGGTCACATCCTGGGTGTTAGTGGACTGTTGTGGGTCATATCCTGGGTGTTAGTGGACTGGTGTGGGTCATATCCTGGGTGTTAGTGGACTGGTGTGGGTCACATCCTGGGTGTTAGTGGACTGGTGTGGGTGGCATCCTGGGTGTTAGTGGACTGGTGTGGGTCACATCCTGGGTGTTAGTGGACTGGTGTGGGTCACATCCTGGGTGTTAGTGGACTGGTGTGGGTCACATCCTGGGTGTTAGTGGACTGGTGTGGGTCACATCCTGGGTGTTAGTGGACTGGTGTGGGTCACATCCTGGGTGTTAGTGGACTGGTGTGGGTCATATCCTGGGTGTTAGTGGACTGGTGTGGGTCATATCCTGGGTGTTAGTGGACTGGTGTGGGTCACATCCTGGGTGTTAGTGGACTGGTGTGGGTGGCATCCTGGGTGTTAGTGGACTGGTGTGGGTCACATCTGGGTGTTAGTGGACTGGTGTGGGTCACATCCTGGGTGTTAGTGGACTGGTGTGGGTCACATCCTGGGTGTTAGTGGACTGGTGTGGGTGGCATCCTGGGTGTTAGTGGACTGGTGTGTGTCACATCCTGGGTGTTAATGGACTGGTGTGGGTCACATCCTGGGTGTTAGTGGACTGGTGTGGGTCACATCCTGGGTGTTAGTGGATGGTGTGGGTACATCCTGGGTGTTAGTGGGACTGGTGTGGATCACATCCTGGGTGTTGTGGACTGGTGTGGGTCACATCCTGGGTGTTAGTGGACTGGTGTGGATCACATCCTGGGTGTTAGTGGACTGGTGTGGCTCACATCCTGGGTGTTAGTGGACTGGTGTGGCTCACATCCTGGGTGTTAGTGGACTGGTGTGGGTCACATCCTGGGTGTTAGTGGACTAGTGTGGGTCACATCCTGGGTGTTAGTGGACTGGTGTGGGTCACATCCTGGGTGTTAGTGGATTGGTGTGGGTCACATCCTGGGTGTTAGTGGACTGGTGTGGGTCACATCCTGGGTGTTAGTGGACTGGTGTGGGTCACATCCTGGGTGTTAGTGGACTGGTGGGGGTCACATCCTGGGTGTTAGTGGACTGGTGTGGGTCACATCCTGGGTGTTAGTGGACTGGTGTGGGTCACATCCTGGGTGTTAGTGGACTGGTGTGGGTCACATCCTGGGACAAAACTGACATAATTTACGGGAAATGCTCAACATAACAAGTAACTTTCTATATAGTAGTATGTCATTGGTGTGAGCTATGGTCTGTATAAGTTGTATCAGGTACTGCTAGTAAATATAGGTATTATTATTATTATTATTATTATTATTATTATTATTATTATTATTATATCATTGTTGTGAACTATGGTCTGTATAAGTTGTGTCGTGCACTGCTGGTAAATATAGGTATTATTATTATTATTATGTCATTGGTGTGAGCTATGGTCTGTATAAGTTGTGTCGTGCACTGCTGGTAAATAAACATTATTATTATTATTATTATTATTATTATTATATTTTTATTATTATTATTAATAGAGGTTATTTGGAGTTGCTGAAACAGGCCTACTGGCCTCGCATGGGCCAGTAGGCCTTCTGCAGTGTTCCTCCATTCTTATGTTCTTATATATGGAACATGTCTTAGTCGTCACGTTTCTCTACGTTGAACTAAAGAAGACACTGACTGGCGAAATGTTTCCAGAATATTTACATAAATGTTACAAATATTTATAAACTTAAACATTAAAATGGTATAAAATACCGACAGGTTGTTAGGTAAGACACATGTGCAACAGTTAGGTATCTTTATTATGAAACGTTTCGCCTACACAGTAGGCTTCTTCAGTCGAGTACAGAAAAGTTGATAGAAGCAGAAGAGACTTGAAGACGATGTAATCAGTCCATCACCCTTGAAGTTTTGAGGTGGTCAGTCCCTCGCCTCCCTGCTCACCCCACCGGAGTCCCAACAGAAGAGCCTGAATTTCTCTTCTCAATATCTGTCCCACGATCGCCTTCGCTGCTGGGTTAAGCCCTGGCTCTTTCATCTACAACTCAAGACCTTCCTCTCACGACTGTTCATCGTCCTGTCCCCTTTCCCCCCCACTCACCCACCAGTCCCAACAAGAGCCTGCTTTGTTGTTCTCATGTCTTCCCCGACCCCTTTCGCTGCTGGGTTTAAAGCCCGGCCATTTTACGAAAAGGGAACACTCCTCTCCAGCACGATTCTTGTCTTTCCGTCTTCCCCGCTCATCCCATTTGGGTTTTTTTCCTGGACTTTCGTTTTTCTTTTCAACCCCCATATTTTTTCAGACTTTGGACAATGCTCTTCTCCCAGACTGGGGATGACCACCTCAAATTTAAAGGGTATGACTGATTACATCGTTTTAAAGTATTTTGTTCATAAATTTTTCTGTATCGACTGAAGAAGCCTACTGGTAGGCAAAAATTTTGAAATAAGATACCTAATGTTACATATTGTCTTACCTAAAAAGACACATTGCAAGTTTAGTACTTTTTTTCGAAACGTTTCGCCTACACGTAGGCTTTTTCTATACAGAAACCCACCTCCAATTGGGGGATGATTCCCTCATTTTTGTACATAGTTCTACTGTCTTCTAATTATTCCAAAAATCTATATTGATAAAGCCACTGGATGGCAAAAACGTCTACAATAAAAACCCAGTTTGCACAAGTGTCTTAACTTTCATCATACAAAACAAAGATTGTGATGAAGGGTTTTCAGAGAACCGCCCTTTTGATAAATTAGACTGCCCAAAAGCCCTCAAGGTTGGGGGGACTGATTCTCATTCTCCTCCTTTTTTTTTTCAAGTTTCCCCTATGCATGGAGATGAACCCACGGGTTTTTCCCTCAATAAATCCCCAGAGTTGCACAGTGTCTAATTTATCAAAAATAAAGATACCTAATGTTTCATATGTCTTACCAAACAATATGTTGGTAGTTTATCCCTTTTTGAGTTCACTCTGCAGAACTGCAACCAATGGTATTTGGTACGCCTGAATAAAACTTTGTCAACTTCGCTAAAGTGAAATGGGGGATTTAAGAGGGGTGACCCCCCAAAGAACATTTTTCCCCTCTCAAGTACCTACATCTCCCTCCTGGCGGTTTTTTAAAAAGGTTTCCATCCTGTCACTCAACTCCTGGCAAAATTTAAGGGGAATTTCTTACGGGGCCACGAGCCCACTGGGCCGTTGTTTCGTATGGAATCACGACAAACCTGAAGTTCAAATATGGTTCAACTTGAGGGGAAAACCCAAATATTGATCCTCCAACAAGGAAATGTTTACCCGAAAAGGAGTCAGGAGACAGATCGGTCATTCACCGGGGGAAAAGGGACTCTGGGCAGAAAACACCGGGGTGATGATGCGTACCCGCTGAGATGCCATTTTGAGGCAGTTGCAGCCCCCCCCCGTGTTTCGCTCAAACTCTAAAAGGCAAAGACGGGCAGGAAAACCCCCCAACCCCACGGGCTTTTTCGATGAGGCCCCACTGCCATCCCAGCGGACCTCGGTTCTTGGGGAAAATAGTTTCAGGCCCTTTCACAACGAACCGTTCCGCGGGTTTTGTCAGCGTTATGGCACCTGGGGGCCCCACTCTGTCCGAACAGAGAAATCTGCGGTGTTTTTGCCCCACCACCCCCCCTACCAGGAATGCTCACCAAGCTGAAAAGCATCGCCACCCATCCACAATGCCCGAACGCGGCAAAAACACCATCCGGGAAATTCCTCGATGCCCCGAGGGGCTCGCCAAAATTCAAGGAGTCTGGAAGCCCCAAAAATCGGCAACGGGCACGAGGTATCTCTCTCAGCAAACGATGGGTGCAGAGAATGCTGCCATCCGCAGATCTTCGCGCAACCCAAGTAAATGCCGGGAAATTTCCCAACCCCGAAGCCTCAACCGGGCAAGGTAAAGAACCCTGCACCCTACCCAACGAAAAAACAAAACGAGGAACGGGAGGCTCAACAGGGTGCTTTGGTCAATGCGTCGCATGGCACTAAAACGAGCCCCCCCGGCCATAGCACGACAAGCAGGCACCCCTTTACCCGGGCCCAACAGGCCTTTGCAGACTCAATGGCCCCTCACCAGCAGACCCGGTACCCCCCTGGTATACGAAACGCCATGGTGCTTAAAAATAAAGAAATCCAACCTCTGCATCCCTACAGACCAAAAACAGCCCAGATAATATCCCGTTTAAAACCCAACCCAAAAGCAGACCCCCCCCGGGGGATCTCGTGCACCATCAAGGGTTCAGGGTCTTATTTGCAACACAATCAACTCCAGGGGAACAACAAAGCACTTTCCCGGCGATGGTCAAACGCTCCTGAGGGTGGCTTACTGACCGAGGAGGGGGGAAGGGATCCCATGAATTTGCAGGTTCTCAGAGCGGGCAGGACTCAGTCTCCAGCC